ACACAGGGTGGCTGCACAGATACACGTTCCTGGCAACAGGCCTGGGCCGGAGCAGGCACTCAAAGGGGAACACCTTCCCTTCACAAGAAAAATAATTGTTTTTCTCAATTCCCTAAAAAAGAAGATGGGCCTCTAATCTATTCAAGGAAGAATGGTAGCGGCCTTGGCCTCAGCATTTCATTGTATTCAGGCCACATTTCAAGAAGAAGATAAATCTCCCTACTCAAGAGATGAGACAAAAATGAGCAACAATATACATACAAAAATAAGTTCTTCTTCTATGGTTTTAGTCTAAATAAAAAGCTTGCCAAATTCTTTGGGACATTACAATTGGTTTTATAGGATCAGGCAAGTGCTGAAAACTTTTTGCATTATGAAGAGCTTCTTTATAAATGAGGCATACCTCAGAGATATTGTGCATTCAGTTCCAGACCACTGCAGCACAGTGAATAGTGTGTTTACCTCATGGGAGAAGGTAAAAAGTCAAATTTTTTGGTTTCCCAACGTTTATAAAAGTGACATTTACATATAAGTATGCAATAGCAGTATGTCTCAAAAAACAATAAACATTCCTTAATTTAAAATACTTCATTGCTAAAAAATGCTAACAATTACTGAACCTTCAGCAAGTCATAATCTTTTTGCTGGTGGAGGGTCTTGCTTCAATGTTGATGGTTGCCAACTGATCAGGGTGGTGGTTGATAAAGGTTGGGGTAACTGTGACAATTTATTGAAATAAGACAGTGAAGTTTGCCACATGAATTGACTCTTCCTTTTACAAAAACTTATCCGTAGCACGTGAAGCTGTTTGATGGCATTTTACTCACAGTAGAATTGCTTTCAAAACTGGAGTCAATCCTCTCAAATCTTACTGCTTTATCAACTAAGTTTATGTAATATTCTAAATCCTTTGTTGTCATTTCAACAATGTTTACAGCATCTTCACCAGGAGTAGATTCCATCTCAATAAACCACTTTCTTTGCTCATGCGTAAGAAGCAACTCCTCATCCACTCAAGATTGATCATGAGATTGCAGTAATCCAGTCACATCCTCAGGCTCCACTTCTAATTCTAGCTCTCTTGCACTTTCCACCACATCTGCAGTGACTTGCTCCACTGAAGTCTTGAACCCCTCAGAGTCATCCATGAAAGTTGGAATCAACTTTTTCCAATTCTTATTAATGTTGATATTTTTACCTCCTCCCATGAATCACAAATGTTCTTTATGGCATCTAGAATGACAAATTCTTTCCAGAGGGTTTTCAGTTCACTTTGTCCAGATCCATAGAGGAATCACTATCTATGGTAGCTAAATATACTTCTTAAATAATAAAACCTGAAAGTCAAAATTACTCCTTGACCCATGAGTTGCAGAATGAATGTTGTGTTAGCAGGCATGAAAACTTTGTACAACTCCATCTGAGCCATTAGGTGACCAGGGACATTATCACGGATCAGTAATCTTTCTTCTAAGCAGTAGGCGGCCTCAATACTAGGCTTAAAATACCCAGTAAACCATGCTGTAAACAGATATGCTGTCATCCAGGCTGTATTATGCCATTTCAAGAGCACAGGCTGAGTAGATTTAGCATAATTCTTAAGGGCCCTGGGATTTTTGGAATGGTCATTGAGCAATGGCTTCAGCTGCATTAGCCCCTAATAAAAGTTAGCCTTGTCCTTTGAAGCTTTGCAGCCAGGCACTGACTTCTTTGTAGCCATGAAAGTCCTACACAGCATCTTCTTCATATAAGGGTGTTCCATCTACAGTGAAAATCTGCTGTTTAGCATACTCACCTTCATCAGTCATCTTAGTTAGATCTCCTGGATAACTTCCTCCAGCTTCTCCATCAGCACTTTTTGCTTCATCTTGTACGTTTATGTTCTGGAGATGGCTTCTTTCCTCAAATCTCATGAACCAACCTCTGCTAGCTTCAAACTTTTCTTCTGCAGCTTCCTTACCTCTCTCAGCCTTCACAGAATTGAAGAGTTAGAGCCTTGCTCTAGGTTAGGCGTCAACTTAAAAGAATGTGGTGGCTGGTTTGATTTTCTATCCAGATCACTAAAACTTTCTCTATAAAAGCAATAAAGCTGCCTTGTGGCCGGGCATGGTGGCTCACGCCTGTAATCCCAGCACTTTGGGAGGCTGAGGTGGGTGGATCACGAGGTCAAGAGATCAAGACCATCCTGGCCAACATGGTGAAACCTTGTCTCTACTAAAAATACAAAAATTAGTCTGGTGTGGTGGCACGCGCCTGTGGTCCCAGCTACTCGGGAGCCTGAAGTGGAAGAATAGCTTGAACCCAGGAGGCGGAGGTTGCAGTGAGCCAAGATTGTGCCACTGCACTCCAGCCTGGTAACAGAACAAGACTCTGTCTCAAAAAAAAAAAGCCGCCTTGCTTTCTTATCATCTGTGTGTTCACTACAGTAGCACTTTTAATTTCCTTCAGGAACTTTTTCTTTGCATCCAAAACTTGGCTCTTTGGTATAAGAGGCCTTGCTTTCAGCCTATCTCAGCCTTCAACATTGCCTTTGACATTGAGTTTAATGATGTCTAGCTTTTTATTTAAAGTGAGAGACATGCAACTCTCTTTCCCTTGAACACTTAAAGGCTATTTACTAGATGAATTTTAACACTGTCATGTCTCAGGGAATAGGGAGGCCAGAGGAGAGGGAGAGAGACAGGGGAGCAGCCAGTAGGTAGAGGAGTCAGAACACACACAACATTTATTAAGTTTGCTGCCTTACTTTAAGTGTCCCTTGTAGCACTTCAAAATTCCAATAGTAACATCAAAGATCACGAATCCCAGATCACCATAACAGATGGCATGTGTTTGAAATGAAGTGAAATGTTTGATGCTTAATGTTTGATCAAAATTTTGAAATAGTGTTAAGAATAACCCAAATGTGGCATAGAGACACAAAGTGAGCACATGCTGTTGGAAGGGTTGCCACAAACCTTCAATTTGTAAAAACCACTATCTGCAAGAACAATCAAGTGAAGCACAATAACATGAGCTATGTACATATATGTTGGAAGGGGATGGGGGAACTACAGGGTAGCCTGGGGAAGCATGCAAAGGACTCCACCTTTGGAGTCAGGCACACCTGGACTGTTTTACTGACTAGCTGCCTCCCTAAGTCCCAATTTCCTCAATTATTAAATGGTAACCACCACACTCCTTGCAGGGTTTGCCCAGTAAGTAGCAAATACACAAGAAAAGCCAAGCCAATAAATAGTTGTGTAGTTACCACTATCTTCCAGCACGAGGAAGGTCCAGAATTAGGTTCAAAGGTCAGAAAGAAGAAAGCTAGGCTTCCAGCCCAATTTTGTCTGACCCCAAACGTATCTCCTTCACCAGTCTACTCACTTCATCTACTCTATTTACTAGAAAACACTAAAAATTTGCCATCTCATTTTTTAAACTCTGCCTTCTACCTCCAGTGTGGACTGGCTCAGAGTCCATGTCCTAAAATGTATTTTGATGTGACCAAATAGAATTCAGTTATAAGGAGGCAGGGAGGAATGGGTAGAGAATCATGTGCCCCTTAATATTCACCTGACTGAAACATGGATTGAGGAGAAGACTTTAGATAGTGTGACTCTGGCCAAGTCCCTTCACCTCTTCAAACCTCTATTTCCTTAAAATAGGGAAATGATCTCTGACTGCCTGCAACGTGAAACAGTTGGGAGGTAACAAAGATGAAGTAGTATACTTAACAAGCTTATCATTATAGCTGGGACCCACAATGCCCAGTGACCAATGAGACCATCTGCCACCAAACCAATTATCATCTGCCAAACACATATTCCCAGGTGTGGCATATAGAATATTGCTGGAAGGAAACACAAGGAAATGGGAACAGAAAGGTAATCAGATACTGGGGTCAGCAGTGAGAAGCAGACTTCTTTAGCTATATACCCTTTATACGATGTATTTATATTATTGTACCATTTTTTTCTGAAAACAAAACATGTTTTAAAGCTCTTTCCCCATATTTAAGTGGAGTTAAATGGGTTTGGAGAAGTAATCCAGAAAGGTATAATAGTGGTCTTTTCAGTTGCAGAGATGGGAGGAGTACAGAATTTAGGACAGAGGAGTAAGTAAGGGAGTGTTTGCCTTATTTGTGATATTCTATTTCTTCACAAGTGGTATGTATTCATGTATAATTAAAAATTAATGGTACCTCTTTGGAGGGCATTTTGGACCACAACCAAAAACACACATGCCTCTTGCTCCAGCCAATTAGTTCTGTTACGATACAGATATACAGACATACTAAAGACTTCTAGAATATTCACTGCAGCATGGTTTCCAAACACTGGAAACAACATAAACGTCCATCATTAAAAGATTTGTTTAGAAAATGTTGGTACAAATGTGCAATGGAATCCTATGTGAGCTTTAAAAAGAATGATGTAGCTTTTTGTGTGCAGATATGGGGCACTCTCCAGACACAGTGTGGAGTGAAATCGTGTCTAAAAGGAAGAGGGAAAGTGGGATTTATACAATACACAGACATGCTTGTACTGACGTAGAGTCTTTCTGAAATGATATACAAAACTGGGAACAGCGGCTGACTCTAGGAACGGGAACCAGGAGACCAAAGGGAAAGTAAACGGAGACAGCTTTTGTATGTATACCCTTTATGTAGCTTTTGAGTTTTCTTTACGTGATCATGTATTACAAACATATTTGGTAGGTTTTTTGTTTGTTTTTTTAAGGAAAGCACCTTGCAGTTTGGTTTCGCTGGGTGGGAAAAACTTCTATGTCAGCTGGCCACGAGTTCGAATCTCAAAGCCTCTGCTTGCTTGCTGGCGGGGGATGGTGGTTGGGGGGGGTCCCTGGGCAAGTCACATGCGCCTCTTGGGGCCTCAGGGGACCCACCAATGAGGTGGGGCTATCTTCCGTCCCGGCATAGGCTCGAGCGAATTCGGACAAGGAGCTCGGCCGCTCCGCCCGCATCCCTGAGCCCGGCACCCGCCCCCGCCCGAGCTCACCGCCGATGATGGTCCGGATGAGGGAGGCGTGCCCGGGACAATCGACCAGCGTGACCTGAAGCAATGGCTCTCCGGGCTCGGGATCGGCTTCGGGCGCTGCCTGGAACTCGGGCAGAGCGGATCGCAGGCGCGCGGGCAGCGGCACCGAGAAGCACGAGAAGCCCAGGTCGAGCGTGATGCCGCGCTCGCGGCTCTGCGGCTGTTTGTCGAAGGCGGCAGTAGAGGCTGTGGTGCTCAGCGCCCGCGCCAGCGCCGTCTTGCCGCTGTCGATGTGGCCCAGCACACCCACGTTCACGTTCACTCTCCGCCCTGCCATGCCGCCACCGCCTAAGACACCGGCCCGGCCCGCCCCTCACCTCCCTCGGTAGTCGCCACGGTCCGGCGGGTTAAACTGCCCCCCCCAGCAACAGGCGCGCCGGGCACACCCGTTCCGGCCCCGAAGCTTCCGCCCTCCAGAGGCCCGCGGGCACCGCCGAGCGCCGTGTTCCGGGTGGGTGCTCGAGGAACGGGAGGTCACCGCCGGCAGGGTTGCTCTCTCACCTGGCTCCTCCTAAGTGAAGCTTCCAGGAGCCAGAGATCCGGGGATCCTTCCAATTATTCAGACATATCTGCAAACTCTTACCAAGTGCCTGGTGGGTACCTCTGGGCTACAGTGCCCGCTAACGTTACATTCTAGGGCGTGAGAGCTAAGTGAAACAACAGAGACTGAACCAGACCATTTCAGAGAGCGAGAAGTCTCCTCAGGAAAAGAAAAGCTGAGATAAAAAAGAGCGGAAGAGGGAGGACGGACAGCTGCCTAACAATGGGTCAAGGAAGGCCCCTAAGAGTTGCTATCTGAGTTGAAACTCCAGCGTTGAGAAGGAGCCAACCGTGGGAAAAGATTGTTTGAAAATGGAGGAGGACGACATTATCTCTGACTCAGAAATTCTCACCCTGAGAGTCTGTAGCCTGGGCTTAGGAGAGGCCACAAACCTCCAAATTACATGTACAGTGTGTTGTGATGTGTTTGTGCTAGAGAGAAGGTCCACGACTCTCACTAGATTCTGAAGTGTCTAGAACCACAAAAAAGGCTGTCAGCCACAGTCACCAACCAGAGGTCACAAACCTAGTGTCTGCTTTGGCCAGGTGGTGGATAAATCAAAGAAGAGAAGTTATCAGAGTCTAAGATGACAGTGAGTGTTAGGGACCTGGGAGAACTAGAGAGCCCTCTTCCTGTGCAAAGAGGGAAGCCACGCTCAGCCTCAGCCAACATTGCCCCCATCCTTCCATTTTTCTTGAGAAGAGAGTGTTTCTGTAACAATGTGGCTGTGGAGCACAAAGTCCACTGGATCTTACCTTTGCCCTCTGTGATGAGCCAGGCCATGTGCTGATGTATTCATGCTTGCAGTAACTCTCCGTTCCACCACTCAGCACTAGGAAAAGAGTCCGTGTTTTAGACTGAATTGTATCCCTCTCAAATTCATATATTGACACCCTGACCCCCAGTGTAATGGTATTTGGAGATGACCCCTTTGGGAGGTTAGATGAGATCATAAGAGTGGACCCTTGTGATGGGATTAGTGTCCTTATACCATCACAAGAGAACAGATACTTTGTTTCTATTTCCCATCTTGCAAATAGGAAACAGTAAAAATATGTCTTCCATTTTAAAAATAACCTGGTAAAAGCAGTAGACAAGTTTAAAAGGGAGGGTTAGTAAACAGGTAATAAGAGCTTTAGAGGCTTTATGTACCTCTGAGAAACATTTCAACTAACAAAAGATTTTGTACAGGGCTTGGCTTCAAATAAACCTCATTTCTCTCCTTTGTTTTACACAGAATCCTGAAATGGTGATGAAAAGAAAAAAGGTTTGGGCAGGGCATGGTGGCTCATGCCTGTAATCCCAGCACTTTGGGAGGCCAAGGCAAGCAGGTCACCTGAGATCAGGAATTTGAGACTGGCCTGGCCAACATGGCAAAACCTTGTCTCTAATAAAAATACAAAAATTGTCAGGTGTGGTGGCAGGCATCTGTCTAGCTAATTCAGAAGGCTGAGGCAGGAACATCTCTTGAAACTGGGGGTTGGAGGTCGCAGTGAGCCAAGATTGTACCACTGCACGCCAGCCTGGGTGACAAGAGTGAAACCCCATCTCAAAAAGAAAAAGAAAAAAAAATTGTGTTTTAACACTTTAATGTTGTATTGGCCTCACAGACTCAATAGTGAACTTCATGCATTGACCTCTGAAGTATTGATTGAAACTTGGGGCAATGCTAAGCCTTGGGAGATGCTCACAGTCAAATGTGAAAGTGAGAGGGGGACAGTCAATATAATCATCTGGTATTTACAAGAGAGAGAAGGGCAGGTTTTGAGTGGGAGTGAGCTGTGGGCATGGAGGATGTGGTCAAGATTATTATTATTTTTTTAAGACTAGTCAAGTGCAGTAGTGAGAAGGGGGGAAAGAGTAGAACAAGGAGTTTGATCTGTAGCTGACTGCGAACAATCAATTGAAATAACTCACTACCTTCGGACCAGCCAAGATGCTGGTAAAGGTAGTGGCACCTGATTTAAACTGGAATAAAGTGCAGGGAGCTCCCTAGCAAAGGTCGGAAGGGGTGTGACAGCATGGGATGGGGCACTGAACGTGGCAGGGAAGGGAAGTGAAAAGAATGGAATTGAAGACAAGATTTCAAAGTTACTGTCCCAGGGCAAAACTAATCTGAACAAGAGTAGGAGGTGCTTCTGAGGAGTAAGGGATTGGTGGGGGTTGACTTGTAAAGGGCTTAAAGGCATTTTCTGGGGTGTGGGCATGGTATATATCTTTACAGAGGTTTGGGTTTAGTGAATATGAACTTAAGATTTGTGTACTTTACCATATAGAAATTTTATATTAAAAGAAAAAACTGTGAACAAATACTGAACTCTAGTTGACAGTACATGTCCAGGAGACAGTGTACTGGTTCTGCACCTTATTTTAAAATGCATCTAAAAAGCTAGATGAACTGATGGGTAGCTAGAGGGATGGCTCGATGGACATATGCATGATAAACAAATGTTATTGGCAGAATCCATGCGGTGGATATATGGGTGATCCATGTAAAACTATTTAAATGTTGCTATACTTTTGAACATTTTCATAATATAATAAAATATTGGGGGAGAATGAAACAATCCCAATCCTCTAAACTTATATATATATAAAAAAGGTCTGTCCTACAATCTCTTATCCATAGTGTTACTAAAATTTAAAAAGCTCCAGAAACAGCAAGTTTTCTGTCAACTTTCTGGCAGCAAACCATGACCTGAGCTGAGATGAGGCTAGCTGTAGCTATGTACTGCCTTTCCCAAGCACGCACATATTTCAATGCAGATGTTTGATTGTGATGTGCTGCCCATACTCCACTGAGGGAGTCATGTGGTATATAGTTTATCCTCTGTATTGCCTCTTAGGAATCTGAAAAATTCTGAATTCTGAGAAACACCTGGTCCCAGGAGCTTCAGATAAGAGGTTAGAGACTCATAAAGATTTTTCAGTGACAGGATTTTGTGACGAATTGGATGTGCAATGGGGGAGAAGGAGGATGCAGGGATGATTTCCAAATTTCTAGCTATAGACCTTCATTTTTTCATGTGTGATGGTTAATACTGAGTGTCAACTTGATTGGATTGAAGATACAATATATTGATCCTGGGTGTGTCTGTGAGGGTGTTACCAAAAGAGATTAACATTTCAGTGAGACCCTTAATCTGGGTGGGCACCATCTAATCAGAAAGACAGACCCACCCTTAATCTGGGTTGGCACCATCTAATCAGCTGCCAACACAGCTAGAATATAAGCAGGCAGAAAAACGTGAAAAGAGAGACAGGCCTAGCCTCTTAGCCTTCATCTTTCTCCCATGCTGGATGCTTCCTGCCCTCAAACATCAAACTCCAAGTTCTTCAGTTTTGGAACTCTGACTGGTTCTCCTTGCTCCTCAGCTTGCAGATGGGCTTTTGTGGGACGTTGTGATCATGTGAGTTAATACTTAATAAAATCCTATATAATATATATAGGAGTTTATATATTCCATTAGTTCTGTCCCTCTAGAGAATCCTGACTAATACAAATCTTCTAATAAATATTGATTGAACACCTGCTGTGTGGCAGACATGATATTTTGGAGGGATACAACTATGAATGAATAAGTCAAATGATGAAGTGCTTTGGGAGAAACAGCAAAGGAGCATGGCTGAGAGGTATTGGTACAAGGGAGGAGACGCTCATTACAGGAGAGGCATTTGAGCTGACAAAGATACAGGACAAGGACCAGCCTGCAAAGAACCAAGGGAAACTGATGAAAGAATGTGCTGCACAGAGGAAACAGCAGGTTAAGAGACAGCAGCAATCTGAGCCATGTGGCACGTGGCAAGGTGGGGCTGAAGAGAAGAAGCTGCATGCTAAGCATATCCCGAAAATGTCTTTCAAAGTACGATTTTTGCCTGGTGGTATGGCCTTCTGAAGCATCAAAGACAGATGCTCCGGAAAGCTGACCAGAGGCCAAAGCCAGACTTCCCCAGGAAACAGGATCTCACCAATGCTGAGACTGGTGTTGCAACATCACCCAAGACTCCCTCCCTGTGTGGGTTCTGGTTGCATGGCTAGCCCAGGGGTCTCAGAACCAGACTCCCTGATACAAACCTTTGAGACTCACTCCTCAAGACAGTTGATCTGGAAGCATTTCAGGCCCCCGCCTCTTGTACTCTTGGAACCCAAGGAAAACAGTCTTAATGGAAAAGACATGTTCTAGTACCAAGCATTTCTTTTTTGTATTGTATATAGTAGCAAAATGTTGTAAACAAAGTAAATGTCCTTAAAAAGAATAATTATGGGGGCCGGGCGTGGTGGCTCACACTGGTAATCCCAGCACTTTGGGAGGCCGAGGCGGGTGGATCATGAGGTCAACAGATCGGGACCATCCTGGTTAACATGATGAAACCCCGTCTCTACTAAAAATACAAAAAATTAGCTGGGCATGGTGGCGCGTGCCTGTAATCCCAGCTACTCAGGAGGCTGAGGCAGGAGAATTGCCTGAACCCAAGAGGCGGAGGTTGCGGTGAGCCGAGATCGCGCCATTGCACTCCAGCCTGGGTAACAAGAGCGAAACTCCGTCTCAAAAAAAAAAAGAATAATTATGGTAAGCTTGAAATTATATCAAGACAGGCCAGACGCAGTGGCTCACGCCTATAATCCCAGCACTTTGGGAGGCCGAGGTGGGCAGATCACCTGGGGTCGGGAGTTCAAACCAGCCTGACCAACATGGAGAAACCCCGTCTCTACTAAACATACAAAATTAGCCGGGTATGGTGGCACATGCCTGTAATCCCAGCTACTTGGGAGGCTGAGGCAAGAGAATGGTTTGAACCCAGGAGACAGAGGTTGCAGTGAGTCAAGATCATGCCATTGCACTCCAGCCTGGTCAACAAGAGTGAAACTTTGTCTCAAAAAAAAAA